TGTTTTGTCCCTATAATTGAAAACCTCATAATCAAACTGCCCTGGCTCTGCATTAATGCCACTCTACGCCTTTACATACATTTAATATGCTTTGTCCTACTGTGGTAAACTATCACGTAATTCAGTTTTTGTTTTTTACACTGGTGAGTAGACAAACTATTAGCAGCGACATAATTAGTACTGAACATGAATTACATTATGACATGCTAATTAAATTACACAAAGTGGTACAATTCTTTTGTTATAATCAATCTGATTAAGTCCTCCAGCTCTTGTAAACAGGAACGTGTCATTGTTACATCCGCAGAGGGGAGTAAGGAGTGTGTGTCCCCTCTGGAAATAATGACACAGTAAAACACATGAAACATGCTGTTAGAAGCGTCTGAATTCCCTCGGCATGACGGGGTGACCCCCCGATTGAGCAAAACTCTCTAGACCTTCATGTCAGTACGGAGAAGGTGATGTTTGTCTTTGTTGTTGTTGTTTTTTTTTTGGTCACGAGATGCTTTGTATCATCCAGAGGCCTGAGAGCAGCACTGGCTCATGAAAAACATTCCCTTCAGTTGACGACGTCCTGGTAGATGGAGTTCGTCGTGGTGAGGCCGAATATGAACGCTCCAAGTGTAACCATGGCGACACTGAAGATCACCAGCCCGTGCCAGCTGTGAAAGAGAGCAAATACATTCGTTTGAGCATGGATAACCTTTTTTGCAATAATGACAGTGAATCATGTGGCTCCAATGTCAAAAGATTAAAGAATCTTTAAAAAGTGTTCAACTGGAAAGTTTTTCTTCAACTTTGATTCGTCACAGATCAAACAGATGCAGAATCACAGTGGCATAAAAGACGGGCTTATCCAGTTTTACAGCTTTTGCTACTAATAAAGACGTCCCCCATGGCCATTCATACCGCACTAAATTAATAGATAAACAATGAAGTTATAGAATAGGTTTTTTTTCAATATTTACTCTATAAATTTCAGTTCCACAGTAATTAATAAACTAATTAATAAAAAATTGCCCATTTTCTGTAAATTAACAAAAACCTTCTGCTTTATAATTAAAGGGTAGTCTGATCAATAGCTCTCAGAACAGCCTCTGCAATGTTAAACATTTACACCCAAACAGTTGTGCTGACGCTTTTCTGTCATCACAGCAGGATTTCTTTGATATGTAGAAAAAGGCAGGTACTATTGAAACTGCACTTATTTTTCTTATATTGGGGGGATTAGGGATATCCGGGATTAAATACGTAGTTAAACCTTTTTACAACGGCAAAAACGGGAGCTTCACTGGTCTGGCCCACTTAAGATCAAGGTATGCTGTATGTAATCTGTTGTAGTCATTTAATTGTGAAGGGTAACTATAATGTAGCATCCAGTATTAATGCAGTTTTAAAAAGAGTGCAAATATGCCCACAAGCTCAATGACAGCCTCACATGCAGAGGGCCTTTTGAGGTTTTGAATGTGTAGTCAGCTGATGAGAAAAGAGCGTCATGCAAAATAACCACTGCATGATTCAAAAATAAATAAATTAAAAAAAAAAAAAATTCTATACACAAGCAGAAACAAGACCAGAAATCAGCAGTGCCTCACCTTGCAGATCGGACGTCTGTCTCTGAGAGTTTGGCTTGCATCAAACACAAACCTGTAAATTTAAAGAAACACTTGGTTGGCTTTACAGCGTGTCAATAAAAGCTGCACAGAAAACCTGAACAGATGGCGTGCAGTGTACCTGGGAAGACAAAGATGAAGCAGGCTGCCAGTCCTCCGATCAGAGAGATCACTCGACCAATGTCTGGGATGAAGAGGGCAAGGACGAGGGTGATGATAAACCACACCAGCGTCTGCAGGATCCTCCTCCTCCTCTCACGGCGTACACACACCTCTACCTGTTCACCTTGGAAACGCAGCCAAAGTCCCTCTATAACTGCCCTAGAACAACACATGACCACAGCAGAGTACTGAGAAGAAAAGATCCATAAAAACTAAACAAGGACCTCAGTACACACAAACACACCGAGGACATACCACCAATCCCTTTGACTTTTTCTGGCTTGTATTTTTAAATCATCTGATACAGATTTTAAAAACTACACACGGGGTACCACCTGAAACAAATCCCACATCAATGCTCCTTTTCTATTTCTAAATATTGGAAAATTTAGCAACCCTAGAATCACTAATAAACATTATTTAATGAGGACAGATTATATTTAGCCAACAACAAATACATAAATATGGTCAGTTTCTTCTGCTGGCAATAATTTGAATGCATCTCAGTGCATGGAAAAAAAAGAAAAATCACAGGAGACAAAAAGGCCAAAACAGAAAAGATGTAAATTATCTGATGCCAGTAACAGGCTGCAGTGAGAAATCTCACAGATATCGCTTCATAAGTTTCTCACTAGTAAGAACTGACAGCTGGAAAATGCAAGCTCGGTGCATGTGTTGATAAAATTATCTAAATGGGAGCCTTACCAAAAAAATAATAAAAATCAGTTTATATATTTTAGACACTTGAAATGCAACCACTAAAGGAAATAGGTAATAAATATAGGAAAGAAATAAAGTAAAGGAAACAGAGCAGAGCAAAAAAAAAAGAAGAAGAAGAAGAAGAAGAAGAAATGCTCACATGGTAAAATACACTGGATGATGCAATAAAATGCTACAGTAAGCCAACAGATGTTGAACCCATAATCATCATCACGTGTGTTTCAACCCGTACGTGTGTCTAATTTGACAAATACACACTTGAAGAGAGAGAGAGCAGCAAATTAGCAGTAAAGACTCACCGTGGGCACATAAAATAGGAATGTTTATGGTTTTACATCAGGATTTTTTTCCTTACATTTGCAACTTTGTAAACTTAAACTATGCTGTCATTCTTTTTTAGAGAGAAGAGGCTTTCCTCTAGTAAATCGTGCTGTCATTAACTTTAATATTTAACATGCGCATTGAGCCCTATAGAGTCTGAGATGTAGCTTTGGGGGTTTCTGCAGTTTCTCCAAGTATTGGGGGTCTAGTCTCAGGGTCCACTTACTGGGACGTCCACTCCTGTGAAGATTATGGCATGTTTTGACACACTCTCCACCTCTAAAGCTTCTGCCTTTATAGAGGTGATCACGCTTGATTACACTCGATTAATCAGCTTCCTTCAATCAGCACCACTTAGCTGCTGCTTATCCTAAGAGTGTTCTTCGCTTTTATTTTTCACAAGGGATACAAATAAAATACTTTATTTTGATTATGCCATCTCACTTTAAGCTTTTCTCAAGATGAAGGGGAGGAAATACAGTTAGAAATGGAGGAAACAATATGCACTCAGACACATGTGCAGCTGAAGCAGCCACAAGAAAAACTGAGACGCTCAGATTACAACAGAAACAGACAGACACAGTGAGTATTACTCTATTCTCTGCTGAGGAAACCTTTAGTCCACTGTATCTTTACACTGCATATGGTTTTCTACTGTATTGTCTTGACCCATTAATATATCCAGATATCAACTACAGCTTCATCATTAGTATCACACGTTTTAGTTTTGCTGTGTCTTACCTGCCACAGAAGTGTAAAATAGGGTAGGAGGTGACCACACAGACGATGATGAAAGCTCTCGCAATGGCTACGGCGATATCATCGGGGGGGTACGACATCAACACATCCTGACTGACGCTGGAGCCAAATGTCAGGAAGCCGCAGACACCTGAACAAATCAAAAATCACACCAAGGATCGTTTCACTGTAAAAAAGCAAACCTGCAGGCTGACTACATTTCTGGAATATATTTCCATGCTATAAAAATACCTTCAAGTACCTTTTACATGTAGTTTCTCAAATGTATTTAAAAGTCAATTATAAACATGCATCTTATTCAGTATATATGTACAATACCTGTTCCAGTGTAAACAAAAAGGCAGATTAACATGCTGAAGGTCACAACAAGCCCCCAGGGTCTGATCTCTTTCCTCCTCATGCTGTTGAACACTGGCACGGAGCTGACATGGCACTGTGACCGGAGATCAGGACGGAGAAGGCAGGAGATACAGTTTATTAATATTAAAGTCCAATCATAAAGGCACATAACTTAAAATCTCATCAAATGATACCAAATGAGGAGATACCTGGAAGCCAAAGCATATGGTGGGCATTGCATTAAAAACTGCAGTCCAGGAAGCAGAACTGTAACAAACACAATGATTTAGCAACTCAAACAAAGCCAGATGAGGATGCAGATGTTTAGAAAGTGTTGTGAAATGTGTCCACACCTGGTAGGAACATAGCCCGGAGTCACCTCTTTGTCCGGCCAGAAGTACTTAATGATGACCACTATGGTAACATACCAGGTTCCCATCACACTCAGAGTACTACCAGAGAAAAAACGAACAACTCAAATAATCAGTGTAAATTTTAAAAAAAAACAACATAATAATAATAATAACAAGAAGAAGAAATCAATTCTCAGAATGAAAATAAGCTGCAGGTTAACAGGGGCAAAGTTCTGTACCTGGCATACTTCTGGAAGCCAATCTCTTTGGGGATGGAAAGAGGAAGAATGACCAGTATCGCAGTCAGAGAGATGGTAAATTTGCGGTTAGTGTACCAGAAGTGATCGGCTTCACCCTCTGCATTATGACCCGCTGCAGCAATCACTGTAACAAAAAAATAAGGATTTCAAAAACACTTGAGAAGGCCCCAAAGAGAAAGAGCCAGAGTACAATCTGCTGTTTGCTGGAGAAGGGTACAGAGCAGGAGATTAGCTAAACTGCTGTACACACAGGAGGGATGTAGAAATGCAGACGATCTAAGTCACAAACACTTCATTCATTTCTAAATAGCAAAAGGCCAGAGTTGAATTCTTTTAAACGCTGTCAGCATCTCTGGGTTGAGTTAATCACATGAGAGACACATTTACTGAGCGAAAAAGCTGAGTAGTGTCATCTCTGATGTTCTTTGCCCTCATCATTGATGACACTGCCTTTTTTATACTGCTCTATGACAGAAAGACTTCCCCTATTTAATACATCACAGCTAAATGCAAAAGGAAAGCAGAAATGTCATTTAAATGTAGGAGATGATCGGAACATCTCATGAATTAGGCCGTGTAAAGATAAATAAAATAAATCAAAACCTTATATGATTTAAATTTGGCTGATCTTCCTTTTAAAGATCATACTCTTGTCCACCCCAGACCACTTTAAGTGTCACTAATATTTTTGATGGCTTCCTGGAAGTCCTGTCCTGTCCCTGCCTCTGCAGCGTGCGCTGGATCTTGTCCTTTACATGAAATTAAATCCTTCACCTCAGATTTCATTTTATGGAAGTGGTCAAAGTCACACAGAGTCAAACCCAGGAAACAGAGCTTGTGGTCAATAACGACTGTGTAGCCAGAATTTTATTTTTTTTTTAAAGATGGTTTTGAAGAGATGAACAGCTAAATTTAATTCAGGTGCATCTTTTGACTTTTACATTCCAGTTTTAGAGGTTTTGGTTTTCTAGAGACGAAACAAAAGAGCTAACCAGTCTGATAAAGTACACTTACAGCGATCGAGCTGGTCTCCGATGACAATGAAGAAAGCAATGCATGTGCCAAATGTGTAGATGGCAATGGCTACTTCACATACAACTCCTGTGACTTTCCCGCAAGTGGCTCGAACAACTTCCTGGTAAGTAGCTTCATTACTGACCTGAATAAAAAAGACAGATAATTAAAAAAAGGACGTTGATCAAACAGTAGGTAGGTACACGGTAGTGATACTAAGGTTTCTCGTGTGACTTCATTATCCGAGAGTTGCCTGCCATATTGGAGGTGATGCAATCTATTGACTGTTGAGGGTGTACATGTTTTTTAACTCACAATTGTGACAGGTTATCTCATTTATGCTTAATGTTTAATAAGGTTATCGCTCACTTAGACCCCAGTCAAACAGACCTAGAGACCAGTCAGTGACCGCACCTGGCAACCTTTGGTTCCTAGGGAAAAATGTATATTCCCCAACTGGCTGGCGGGTGGTTGGAGACAGTCACTAGGTAAAATCTGTAGCACAGAGGGTGGTGACCCAAACACCTTATTGTGGTTGGTTTGCAGATCATCACAGTCGCCCACTTCAAATGCTCACCAACTACTCTCCAATGGTAACCAAAGCAACCAAAAACAGGTGTTTGAGTCAGCACCATATAGCTCTTCACCATCAATTTCGACAAGCAACCTCCAGCAATCACTCACCAACCAGTCAAGAAACACACACACACACATTTTTCCCCTAGAAACCAATGGTTGCTAAATGGCCTGCAATCGGTCTCTAGGCCTATGTGATTTGGGTTTTATTGAATTAACACAAAAAATTTGCAAAGTTGCACAAGTTAAATTCACAAGGTTAGCAATCACATCTGTAGCCTGTATTTATTTACCTAAATTTTCATTTGCCACCATTAAAATCATCATCATTAAAATGTTACACTTAAATTAGCCGTTGAGTTTCAATGCCACTGAAACAAAGGTTAACTGTCCAAATTAGGTTTTTCAACACAAGCCTGTGATATTTCCCGCAAGCCTAAACTGATATATCCATGCACTCACTGAGAACATGGAATCCTCCTGCAGTGTGCGGCATTTAAAACAGGTTTTTCTACATAACTCCACAAACAACCGAGCAGCAGGAGCATCGCTGTTTACTACTTGAGTAATTCAAGTCACTCTTAATTGGATTCTGCCAGCACGCAGGTTAAAGACACAGAAAAACACTTTATCTTGGCTACCACAGCTTGATTTACCGATGTCTGCATAGTTATTGGCAAAATTAAGGTTGGAGTCTCACACATTTACACAGCCAGAAACCATCCAACAGCTGAATGTAAATGATTTTCTTCAGCGGATATTGTTGCATCACTTAAAATTTACTTAATTCAGCTGACTCAGTCTTAGCTTTACTCTTTTATTCCAGTGTTTTGCGAGACGTAAGCACAAATCTGAGCTAGTGAGGAAGTGAAAGTCCAAACCTATCCATATGATCAGGATTACAACCACAGAATAAAGAAGTTGTTACTTAAGAAGCCTGCGCAGTTTGTTTCACTACGAATGAAGGAAGAAGACAAAAGAGAGACAAAACTGTTCGGAGTTCGAGGTCCAGAACATGGCAGAGAAAATATAAGAAAAACAAGTGAAATGTGAAGAAAGTTTGGGGGCGGGGGCAACACAAACCAGGGAGCAGTATCCGAGGATCACCAGCCCGGTGATTATGAAGATCAGCATAAACTGAAACACAAGGAAACACAAAGCAGCACTATATGAATATGCTGTCACATGAATACAGAGAAAGCAGCTGCTCTGATTGTCAGTGCTTATATTCTGGGAATGAACAAGCTCATGCTATATTCAGTCTGACTCACTTTCCAGCTAACCTAATAATAACTGTGGGTAGTGACATAAAATAACTTTTTTTTTTCCTTTCAGCTTCTCTTAGTGCCAAAAAATATTTCACCCTCAGTATAATGAGGGTATACATTGATCAGCCACAACATTAAACATCAGAGTTATATTCTGGAGGTCCTTCTTGACCCTCCAAAACTGGTCTGGGGACTGGGCAATGAACACGAGACATCCCTTGGTGTCTGATACTCTAACACTGCCAGTGGATCTCGTAGATTAAAGGGTGTGACTTGTGTGGTTCACATTCTTCTGGCACATCCCGCTGATGCTCTGTCAGACTGGGATGTCAGGAGATTGGAGACCAAACGTGGTTGTGTTTCTAAAGCTGTTTCCAAGCATTTTCTCAAGTATGATGGAACGCATTGTTCTGCTATAGGATGCTTCCATTTCTATCCAATGATGTGCTTGGCCTCTAGCAATGTTAAGGTGTGTGGTATGTCTCAAAGTAACATGGGACCAGGACCATGCCAGGACCCAAGACCTTTTAGGACAAAAACAGGATCCATTCATCTCAACACTCAGTGGTTTTAATATTATAGATGATCAATGCATGTAGTTCATAAAAACTGAGCAGACCAAATTATAACTGAATCCTAATTTAACTGTACTTCATGACATACATGCTTCGTGCAAGACAAAAGAGGTGTAGCAGAAGCGCATAATCTCCTCACCATCTGAAGCACGAATCCTGCAGTTACACCTCCTGCCATATTGAAGGCCGCAGGAAAATTGAGTAGACCTGCTCCCAGCGCTGCATTCACCACGATGAAAACAGCGCCTATTGGTGACACCCCCGAGCTCCTCCTGTCAGACTCGGGTTGCCGAACAGAATCCACGCTGGGGCTCTGCAAGAGCCACGCCCTTTCTCCAGAGTCACTGCTGCCAGCACCACCCCAGTCCTCAACATCATTTTTAATTGCCATGAATCACCAGGGTGCAGCTCAGTCTGGGATGCGTTAAGCACCTCAGAAAATCAGGTGAGGAAATTTGAAAGAAAGCTACGAGATATAACCCAGCTGCAGATGAATATTTATGTCCAGTCAGGAGCCAGCTGAGGTTTCTCAACGGTGATGGTTTGATGGTGAAGCCATTTGGAGATTGAGCTGTAATACAATATTGCCTGCATTTAGATGCATTTGGGAGAAGTGTGATATCAAAATAACATACTGAGTACATTAGATGGGGAAGTTAAAAAAAAAAAAAAAAGTGGTTTGAATCACGAGTCATGTTTGGTAAAACAGTTTCTGCTCACTGATTCCTAGAAGTCCATAATATACTGTATGTAGAAATTACCCAGTTTAAGGCAGTGAAGGGGTACTATTCATTTTAGAAAGATGACATGATTCTTATAATCACCATGTTTAAAAAAAAATCTAAATCAGTGAGCTCAAGAACAAACATACGTTTTAGAGAACAGTCGTTTTACAAGTGGATCTCTTAGAAAGTAGCTAATAAGCGTACGGCAGGAAGTGTAGGAGAACACGCAAAGCTGCCAGGAATAAAGCATGGAGGTGATTTATTAATGTTGTGTCCAGCTGATCTCCAACACAGTCACTGTCACACACACACACGGGTATCTACAGGAGACACTGGTCAAGTAATCCACCTTTTATCGTAGCCAGATTCAGGCTTTTGTTTTCACTAAGGCATTTATCAATACACCCATACACCACTGTGCCTACATTAGCTAGCTAGCAAACAGCACACCGAGCTAAAGAGATCTCGTTTTTAACAACAAGTCCACACATTTAAACGCCTCCGCGTTACTCACAATAAGGATTAAAAAGTCGTCTCTGTTTCGTGTAAGACTAAAGTGCTCGTATCCTACCTTATGCCGCCACCGCTGGAAATGAGAGACCTCAGTGTTTTGACCGTAACCGTGACGAGCAAGTCACATGCGGTACAATAGAATTGTGGGTAATGTAGTTCCCCCTGTCGTTTTCTTAAACCCTGTGGGATTACCTGAGGCCTTCACTCTTGACATAATCAGGAAATTGTTTCTACCCTTCCTTAAATGCCGCTGTTTCTTAAACTTATGGCGAACATATAACGTACTCTTTTGCACAGCCTGTCTTTTTTCAATCCAATTTTTTAACTTAACCTTTGTTTTTGCTATAAATATACTACTGTACATTTTATGCTTTTAATTAAAAGTATTGGTAAAGACCGGTTTTTGTGTTTCTATAATATATGTGTATGCTCTGTTGTTCATTTCTGACTTCTCAGAGGAATCCAGTGTGCTGGTTCAAACTGGTTATAAGAACATGAATTCAGTTTTGCCTAAAATAATTTTTAGTTTAAAGGTGTTTGTATCATGTTTATGACAGGTGGTCTTTTAAATTTGTTTATTGCTGTTATCTGTCAATAAAACAGAACAAAGGGCGCATGTAACCATTTCTTACATGGGTAAACTATTATCCAAGAACATATCAGAAACTTAAAGACCAATGAAAATGCAGCCACATCCATTTAAGCAAATGGATAAGTCAGAGCACTCTGTACTTTTGTTTGTGCTTATGCAAGTCAAGATCATTATATACAAGTTTAGCCTATCATAGCTAACAAAGAGTGAGGAAACTGCCCTGGACCTCAGTGCAATAATCCATCACTTGGGATAAGATGTAGGTTGTCTGAGCATGATGTGGTGGGTAAATGTGAAGTAAACAGACAAAATTGACTGGTTTCACATCTTTACTCTATAATGATTTATTATTTGTTCAATGATGTACAAGACCGACGATCCATAAGAGAGAATGCAAAAACATGGAGGCAGAGTACCAGAAGTATGAGCAGACTCGGGCAAACCCCACATTTTGTATTGCCATCTGTGTCTCCCAGTCCAGATTCACACACTAAAAACATGATGTTCATCTGAATGAACAGCGTGTGTGCATCATGAGCTGTTGTGTTCCCCCGAAGAAAGTACCCCACACAACTTTACCATAGAGTACAGAGTTTTCATTTGGGGAGATGAACAAGTTAAGTTTTGTGTAATAAAAATTCCTCGCAGTGAGATCGACAGATTTATTGTCTCCATTCTCAACGCTGAACCATGTGCTTGTTTGTATCTGGGCTTACAAGAGGACCAGCAGAGAGAGACCGCTGCCCTGTAATCACTAAAACAGAAATCAAACAGATTCAAATTCTACTGAAACAGAACAGATAAAGAGTAAACTGCTGAATCATTGTTAGGGCAGATCCACAGAGTAAAGAGATTACATGATTGGCAGATGCCCATTAGTACAGTAAAGCCCAGTGAAGTGCCAGTGATGTCTTGAGACTCAAACAGTGCCTCACAGGTTAAAGTGCTACAACTCCACAATTAAAAGGAAAACCTCAGATCAACTACAAGCTTTCACAAAGAACGAGAGATCTCATCTCCGCCTAGCATCGCCTGGGTAATTTTTCCTCAACGTTTTAGAGTGTGGGCCCACAGCAGATAGAGTATACATGTAGGAGGACACGAATGTACAGCCAACAGTTCATTTCTGATAATAAATAAGCAAAGACGATTCAGTCATGGGAAGAAATCTCTCAATTTGGCAGGGGAAGCCTTTAGTGAAATGTAGAGGAAAGAAAGGGCCTGTAACAAGAGCAAGCGTTCCAAATTTAACTCATGATGAAAGCCAGTCAGGAAACAAAAAGGCTACAACTTAGAAAAAAAAGAAAAGAAAAAAAGGAAGTTTTCTAAAGGTGGAATGAAGGAGACAGAATAAATGACGCTTGAAGCTCCTCTTTAGTGCTGCTCCTTCTGATTTTTGCTGCTCTCCCAGCACGAACCACTCTACTTGGTGACTGCGTGGATCGCGTCTGCAAGGTAGCCCACGTTTCCAGAGGTCACACCTGCCATGGAAATTCTGCCATCCTTGGTCATGTACACTGAGAACTCTTTTGTCAAGCGCTCGACCTGCAGGGAAAGAAAACACAGCACAAATGAGGCAGAGGAAAAAGGCACTTTTTATTGTTCGTTTTAAATAAACATTCATCTACAGGATCAAGACTCATAATGTCAAACAAATAAGACTGAAGAATGCATGTTTTTAAATGAGACAGCAGGCGTTTAAGACCACATTCTTAATGCAACCTGCACAATACAAATCGCCACTAAACTTTGGAACAACTAAAAAGTTAAATAGCAGTAAACCATTACCCCCTGGCGGTGAAACCTTAGTCAGTACAGAAAGCAGCTTTACACAACAGATATGACTGTAAGAGTGGGCCTGCCAAAAGGCAAGTCCCTTTCCTAAGAGATAAACTCTCCTCTGATATGACCTGTGAGGTTTATTGCTGAATGACATTATTCATTACACTTTGTTTAAATATGAAAACTTATCAATTTCTCTGCCTGCTCTGCCATTAATCGTCTCAGTACCTGTTCTGGCTTGAGTCCTGTGAAGCAAAACATCCCGATCTGGTCGATGACGTGCTGCCAGTTGTGGGAGGAGCCATTCTTTTTCAAACCGGCCACTAGCTGCTCTCTCATCTTGATGATGCGGTTAGCCATACCATGGACCTCCTCCAGCCTGGACACAAAAAAAAACCAAAAAAAAAACAAAAAACCACATAACTAAGCATCAACCTTTTTGGGGCACGCTGAAGATTTGAAGCGTTCCCAAAGTATTCAGACTACATTAGTTTGATGTGTCAGAGTTTAAGTTGCTAGTTGGCAGCAGCGCATAGAGCACTGACCAGGCTCCATCCCTGAAGGTCCTGGAACTGTGTCTCTAAAACCTGACTTTACTCCTGGAACATGCTCAACTGAGGTAGTCGTGTCACTCCCAGCTCTGATTTCTGTGGCCAAAGGAACGCAGCATAAGTGCAGTGTTGTGATAACCTAAGGAGCTTGAAGAGAAAGCAACTGGGCTTCATTTGGTTTTAAAACTGAAGAAGCCTCTTGGATGAGAAGTGAAACCTCTGCATGAAGCTTAAAGGAGGAAAGAGCCCAGTATTTAAACCCTAGTGGGGTCGTCTGTGGATATGTCCATGTTTAAAAGGTCATACCACAGTGAGTGCAGCTCTGGCGTGTTGAGAATAGTTGCTGCAATTCTGGCACCATTCACTGGTGGGTTGGAGTAGATGGGCCTGATGAGGATCTTGAGTTGAGACTCCACCCTCTTTGCCTCCTCTGCATCTTTGCACACGACAGTGAAGCCTCCAACACGTTCACCTGTCAACATGCACAGCAAGTAAAAAATATAAACACTGATGACAAAAAAAACTCAGGGTTTAATACAAGATAAACCACCAACTCTACTGAACAACCAATTTTAAGAAAATTGAACAGGTTAAAAATAAGCAAGGATGACAGAAACACACGCACGTGTGTAATTAAATATCTTGCGATTCTTATGTTAGTCACATTTTCCCAGACTCATGTAGGTTTTAATGTGGCACCAGTGTCAGAAGGTGGCAGTAATGCACCTACAGACTGTTTGCAAGACACCACTAAACAGAAATAAAAGACTACGTAGAAGGAAACTATTCTAACCATATGTGGACAGTGAGGATAAGTGTTGCCATACAAGTGTGACAACATTCAAAACTCAAAAGGACTACTGCTGTACCCAAATAAATATATTTTAGTATCAGTGGGTCTTGTTAAGGGATCAAGATAGATCTGCTCAAATGTTTCATTTCAGAACAGAAAACACCCATCGTGTTGCATTTAAGAGCCTGCACTGAAGCTGACTGACCATAGAGTCCCATGTTCTTGGCAAAGGATTGCGACAGCACAATGTTGTGACCGTTTTCAATGAAGTGGCGGACAGCCCAGGCATCGCGATTAATGTCTCCACTTGCAAAGCCCTGGTAGGCCATGTCGAAGAACACGAGCAGGTTCCTTTTCTATAAGAGTGGTGGTGGATGAACAAAGACAGACAGCAGTTAATTATGCAGAGCTCATCCATTTTGCTGTCTTAACTGTCAGAGACCTCATGAGATAAAAGCAAAGCAACCGTTTCATCATTAGCATTTTCAGAACCTCTGATAACGTCTCACCTTCACAATGTCAGCAATCTCCTTCCACTGCTCGGGCCTTGGATCCACACCAGTGGGGTTGTGGGCACATGCATGCAGCAGGATGATGCTCTGCTCTGGGATTTTCTGCAACATAAACGAGGGTTTCAGTTAGTCAGCCTACAAAAACCCACACACTACAGACCTGACAGTGTTCTCACAGCAGCAGTACTCTTACACTGCTCATGCACTAGATATGACTAACATGAAGTGGTTCCTCACCACGAGATAAAGCAGCGTTTTCACAACCTTTTGGAGCCATGGCACATATTTCACATTAGGAAAGTCAAACAAAAATGTCACAAAAAGCATATTAATAATAGCTTTGTCTTCTGACCATTACTCATGCTAGGGCCTTCATCTGGGTTGGAATTTACTCCAGGACCCAGGTCAGATACACTACATTTTCTTTTCAAATACTTATCTATTGCTATTACGCGCTGTGTTGTCTCACTCGCATGACTATTATGCAATTTCTCCCGTTTTCTGTTTTACTGGCAGTAGGCAACTGATTTAATTAGAGCAGGTAGTTGAACTGCCCTCTAGTGGAAGAGAATGTAATTGTTCTGTTTGTTACTCAAGCCACTTGCTTGGAATACCAGATGTGGAACCAGATAATTTTTCCACAGCACACCTGATCATTTCTCACGGTACACCTATGTGCTGTAGCACAGTGGTTGGGAAATACTAAGATAAGGGGATGAGAATTACATGAACATTTCAGCAAATCTTTATTAGAGCCTCATACACTGATGCAACAACAATTCACACTATGCCCAGTGAAACTTCCCTGATATCTGTGTGTAAACAGAAAGTGGGGCAAGACCAAAGTCCTCTTGGATGGCTCTTAGTATAAATACACCGTTTGCACTACACACCACAA